CTATAAATTCAAATTTTATTTGGGTGTCTGATAAACAAAACGAACTACTAGTAGGAAGTATGTCATGTTTGATGTTCTAAGTTCACTTAGATACTAGTTTAATGTGAGTAGAATAGTCATCCTATAAATTCAAATTTTATTTGGGTGTCTGATAAACAAAACGAACTACTAGTAGGAAGTATGTCATGTTTGATGTTCTAAGTTCACTTAGATACTAGTTTAATGTGAGTAGAATAGTCATCCTATAAATTCAAATTTTATTTGGGTGTCTGATAAACAAAACGAACTACTAGTAGGAAGTATGTCATGTTTGATGTTCTAAGTTCACTTAGATATTAGTTTAATGTGAGTAGAATAGTCATCCTATAAATTCAAATTTTATTTGGGTGTCTGATAAACAAAACGAACTACTAGTAGGAAGTATGATATGTTTGATGTTCTAAGTTAACTTAGATATTAGTTTAATGTGAGTAGAATAGTCATCCTATAAATTCAAAGTCGAAGGCCCTATACAGTTTTTTTTTGTGTTAATTTTTTGATACAGAGCAGAAGACAAAATTCCCCCTGGAAAAAAAAATGTCCATGACAAATGCTGTCTGGTATACGGTGGTGAGACAAAAAACAAAAACAAGATTAATTTACTTGTATTAAGCCAACCAATTATTTAAGAGCTCCCATTTACGATCGTGATATTGTTCCTTTCCTTTATATAGGGCTATTTCCAACTCTTTTTTTCTATTTTCACGGACTAGTGATTTAAACGCATTTGCAGAAGGGACTGTAGCATTTCTTCCACAGCTATAAATATACTTTTTGAACAGTAAAATGAAATGGTTCAAAATTAGATTGTCATCATTTAAAATACCTCAAATTATATTTACTATATTGCACTCTATTTGTTGAATAATACTATACAGGCCCGATACTGTTAATACCCCAAGAATCTGGTTCACATTTCAGACTAATCTTAGTTAATGGAAAATGATTTGCATCAAATATTAATCTTGTATCTGTTTTATAAAACAGAGAATTTCATGTGTGATTTGCTGGCTTCATGACAACATGATCATAAGATGATGAAAACATGATCACAACAGAATCTATGAAACTGA